AAGCTCTTCTGGGGCATAGCTGCTGATGGATCCGTTGTGATATCAGATGATTTGGATGTTATTAAAGAGGGCTGTGCTAAATCTTTTGCTCCATTTCCTACAGGTAAACACTGAACAAAGACTTGGACTTGATGTAATGATGATTGATATAGTGAAGCTAATGTGTATGTATGATCCAAGAAAGAATGGATTGTTTGATGAAACTTTTGAGTGTGTTGGCAGGATGTATGTTCCACAGTGAAGGAGGGTTAATGAGCTTTGAGCATCCGATGAACAAGATCAAGGCGATGCCCAGAGTTGACAGCGAAGGAGTTCTCTGTGGTGCTAACTTCAAAGTGGATGTGTACTCTCGTGTTAACAGCATCCCTCGTCGTGGAAGTGAAGCCAATTGGTCTCTCTGAATACTTTCCTTGCATTCTCTAGATAACTTTCAAAAGATGGTTTTTCTTTGTTCGCACTTTCTTGTTCTTCTCCACTTTTTTTCATCTTAGTTATGATGAAGTGTTTCTAGTAAGCCATGAATAAAACTGTAAAATTAAACTCTCCAAAACAGAGAAAATAAAGCTTAAGATTGGCCACTTTTTATTACTTTATTGTGGGCTACTCACGCCCAAGCCGATCTACACTCAACACACACTAACAACAAAATCCGCAACAGAATCAAACATCTAAAAATCCAGAAAGCTCTTTAGGTTTTGATCAATAGGTCTCATCAGAGGAAAGTGATCTCAAGTCATAATTAGGCCAAGCCAACGAGCTTCTCACTGATCTCCCACACTTTGCGAGCCTTCTCAACATCGCTTGCTTCTTCTGATAACTGGTTCTCGAAAGACGCAGAAGCCTTGTTCCAGCTCCAGTAAACCCCTGATTTCGTCAAGCTCGGATCACTCACCACCTGATCAAAACAAAACTCTATTACTTTTGAGTACACAGCAAGAAAAGTCTTTCCTTGACTTGCAAGCTACAATAAAAACCCTACCTGAGCAAGTCTTTTGCCAGACTCTGTCTCGGAGACATATCCTTTAGTGATGTACTTCTGAAACGGAGGGAAGAGGGTACGGAAAAGCGGAATGTGCTCTCGGAACAAACCGGTGGAGGCGATGCAACCAGGGTAAAGCGAAGCGAAAATAACTCCGGTGTCTTCATGGAAACGCCTGTGAAACTCTTGCATCGTCAACATATTGCATACTTTACTGTCTTTGTAAGCCTTTGCACCGTCGAAATCTCCTCCATCAATCATCGCCGAGCTGTTTAAACCGTTCAATCCTCCCGCTAAACCCCTCAAATCACCGAGATTCGCCTTCGGTGGTACGTTACCAGCCAATGTGTTCGTGTTCCCTAAACCAAAACCAATAATACAATGAATCAAAAACCATCCTCTAGCTTGCAATGACAATGTATTAGGCTATATCTTGAGATTCTAATCAATACCGGTAATGGATCCGACGATGATGAGACGCTTTGAAGGGTAATCAGATTTCTTCAAGTCATCAAGCAACAACCTCGCGAGAAGAAAATGTCCCAAATGATTCGTAGCAACGCTAAGCTCAAACCCTTCTGCACTGTAAGTAGGCTCTTTAGCTGTCGGGAAGTAAACAGCTGCATTGCAGACCAAAACATCGAGAGGCATCTCCGATCTCCTGAAGTTATCAACGAACTGTCTTACGCTGTCCAACGAGGCTAAGTCTAAATGCATCACCGTGTAGCTGTCTTTAGGCAACCCTGCGGCTTTAGCGGCTCTCTCCGCTTTAAGGAAGTCTCTGCACGCCATTATCACGTGCCATTTCCCTGTCTCGGCTAGAGCTTTAGCCGTGGCTAGACCTAACCCAGACGAGGCTCCAGTGACCACCACGTTTCCTTTCCTCAACGTTTTCTTGCCGTCCACGGTAGATTTTGTGATTGAGGGGCTTGAAGTCGCAGCGGTTTGGGCTCGAATTGAAGCATTCCTCAAGCTATGTTCTCTCTGAATATTTACATATCTCTTAATTAATCAATTACTAATCATTCCGAGAAGAAGGCTTAATCAACACTGTAATGTAGAGTTTTGTTATATACCTTGAATCTTAATGAGGAAGAGCCATGTTCGGATTTGATTTGGTCGGCAAAGGAGGCACCAAATAGACTCGAGTCCTTGAAGGATGATGAAGAAGCATTCAGTTTTCCATCTTTAGGGACAGAGAAAGCAGAGGAGACCAAAGACGCAGCTTGAAGTGCCATTGTTTAAAAAAAGAGAGCGATTGAGAGAAGATGACTGTTGAAGTGGATATTTTTCCGAGAGAGAGTGTGTTCGCTATATGTAGTAGCGAAAGGAGTGGAGGAGGCGGTACTCGGACAGGGAAAGAGTGGTCCCTACAGAGATGTGTGGATAACATTATCTTAGAGAAAGTATCTGCCACGTCAGCTTTGAATGTCCAATGAGAATTTGTGGTTTAGATTTCCCTGTGAATAGATATTTTATTTTTATAGCTTGTTTTGGTAACAAATGGAACAGTTGCAATAAGGATGGTGATTGGTCTTCATGGGATCCCATCCTTTTGGCATGGGAGATGCTACTAGCTGTTATGGACACTCTGATGTTTGGATAAGTTGTCCCATTTTCTTATGAAACCATGATTTTTTATTCAGTAACATGCGAGACAATTTTTCCACTAGAAGTCTAGAAATCTCTTAACCGGTTGAATAAACAAAAAACTGATAAACATAGTTTTGTGATTGCATACAAATTTTCCAGTCATATAATTGTTTGGCATTGCTTATCTTGAGAATTTGTTAAGTTCAACTTATTTTTGCTGTTGAATTAATTTTACTTTTTCACCAGTCTTGTTCTAATGTTTCTTTTTATTAGACAACTAATTTTTGTATGACAAGTGTTATTGGTGACGTTGTACTAGTATAGTTTTGAAATTATTGACTGATATACTAATAGCATATATCTCATGTCACAACCTACTACTAACCATAAATCGCAATGCATCAAATTTCACCCGCCTTAAAAAAACAACATTTTCATTCAATATCTTTGCAAATCAATCTACAAAACTCATAGTTGTTCCCTCAAATTCAAATACGTTTGCAGTCATACAGAAAACGAAAACTCCTCAAAATATGATATTAGTACATCACATAGCACATAGGCAAAAAGAAGAAGCTTATTTTGTTGGTTAAAATCATCTAGTAAGGCGAGAGGGAGGCCTCAGCTGCTGAAGAGAAGAAAAAGTAATATAACTGAGAGACAATGGCGTTGAAGAAGACGAAAGAAGCACCAGCTGCGAAGACACCCTTACGAAGAGTCTGACAATCAGGAGGATTGTCCATGAACATTGTCCTGTACTTTGTGTGATATGCATTTTCCACGGATCCAGCTAATAGACATATCTCTGCTATCAAGAAGAACATCCTATTTTTGGCCGAGAAAACAACAACCAAAATGTTAAAAATTATATTAGCACAACCGTATTTGGTTTTTGCATGTCTGAAGAAAATTTCGCGCGTTTTACATAGATTGAAGCACCAATAGGTTAATAACACAAATAAGAAGCTAGCTTTAGCAACAAGATTTATATGTTATGATGAATTAACTGAGTTCAGATAGATATATTTACCAGCTGACAATGAAGAGAACGAGGGCAAGAGCGCGTGAACCACCAGGCTTGAGAGGCTTGCCACAACAGAAGCAACGGCTAACGAGCATGATAAGGAGCTGACTAACCATTGAGAACAAAAACGCTCCAACTCCATATCCTGTGGCTCTGTCCGAATCATAAACACAGTAGTTGTATTGAACCTCAGTGTCTTGCACAACCCTTGCCTGCCCCACCAAAAGATTATATATTATATAAAATTTCAAAATGTTACGAGAGATCAAATAATACTCATCTTGCTCAAACTATATATCGTTTTAGAGATTTGTTTAAGACTCACAGTGCTTCGTCTTTGTTCAGCGGCAACGGCTAAACCAAAGGCAATGAGATTGAACACAAAGACTATGGCGGAGATAATCTTCGACGCCATTGATTCACCTTACTGTCTTCTCTTTCACAAAATGTTTCTTTAGATATAAAGACAAACTTTGTTTGCTCAGATTTGATCGTCTTGCCTAATGGAAAAAGACACGTTACCATTTCTTTGAAATGGGCATTTCACCTTTTTATTTGTTTATTCTTGTTGTTCAATAAAAAGTACTTTTGTGTCTTGGAAAAGTTTATCTAAGAAATTGGGGAAAAGGATTAAAGGAATATGGTAGTCGAGAGGATGCTTAGAACGAAAGATTGAAACAGAGCTTCCTTGTGGGAGAAGTTTATGACAAAAACATAATACGATATTTGTTAAAAAGAAAATTAGCTGTGTCTCCTCTTTTGTTGAAGTAAAAATGTCTACGAAATTAGTAACGTGACGGAATCAGAATTATTACCTTTCTTTTTAATCGTAAAATAAGTTTCAAAGTGGAAAACAGATTGAAAAATGCCTAAGAACGTGGAAAGAAATAACGCGGAAAATTAGATTCCCACTTGATGGGAACATTTTACCAAAACAAAGATTTAAAATGAAATAAAAAGTAGAATGCTTTTAAAATTGTAGGTGGGTGATGATACTGCCAGAGACTTCTTCATCAATCTAACTGTACCAGAAACTTAAACCCGACTAATCATCTACCGAATTGCATGAAAAACTAAGTTTTTTCCTTTTGCTTAATTCTTTCTCATTCTTTTAATTCATACTGTTATTATTTTGTTCTTTTCTTATGATCCCCAATCAAATAGTTTAGTACTTTAGTTACAAAAATCAAAATAATATTTATTCAAACTCACCAAACCAATTTTTTTTATACATAAATGCTATAACCACACATCAAACAATGAAATATAAACAGCCAAATCAAATTGATAAAAACCAAACATATTTTAATATCACACCTGAAAAAGAATTTAAAGAATAAAGAGAAAAATATCAAACGGGCTCCTTTTCCAACTGAACTCAAACGACGTCCTTTGAAGAAATCTCTAACTCTTGTTTTTCCTTCCGAACATTAGAAGCTTCCTGAACACTTTAGCCGTAGCCTTTGGAGATGTCTCTTCACTGTTCCATTTCTTCCTCGAATGATCTGTTTCATTCGCCGGCGGCGTCGAGACGTCAATCTCCGAGACAGCTGGTGAGAAATAATACTTCTCCTCCATGTTTGTCTCTGAAAAAGTCACAGACTTCTTTGGAGACGCCGGTTTCGCCTGTGAAGCATCCACTTCTACGACATCCTCCGAACGACTTTTCGCAGTGATTTGCTTATCTTCACAGATAGATGTCTTCTTCACGATTTCGTGGTCATGGATTTCCATCTGCTCTTGTACTTTCTGATGATCGGCGGTGATTTCATTAGTTCCTCTGGCAGTTTCTTTGTCTGGCAAGCTATGCAACTCTTTAATGTCTTTGAAATCATCAGCAGAAGAAGCAGCAGCAGCACGAGGTTCATCAACTTGCTTCTCCGGCAAGTAAGACTGTGAATCTCCCACTGTTTCCTTGATTTCGAAACTCGGGTCACGAGAAAGTTCCAGGCTTTTTGCATCGGATTGACCTATTTTACTCGATTTCTTGTCCTGTGGTTTCTCTGTCTTGTTTCCTAAAGGCTTTGATGTTCTTTTGATAACCGGTTTTTGTTGTGGCTCCTTTGGTGCGGTCCGGGCAGCAGCAAGGCGCTCAATAGTGGAGCTTCTCATCACTGGCTTAGCCTTTGACTGCGCAGCTTCTGTAGTCTTCTCGTTCTTGACCGAGCTCTTCACGGTTTTGGTTGCAGTAGGAGTTTTCTTGGACGTCAAGGAACTTGTTACACTACCACCAGAACTCTTCTCAGCGATTCTCTTTTGCCTCTGAATCAAAAGCTCTTCCATTCTCTTCTTCCTCTCTTCCTCCTATCAAATACCAAATATGAGAACAAGGAAACTAATCAAAGAAAGACGAGAAGCGTTTAAAGAAATTACCATTTCGGATTTGGTTTTGGTGGCAGCAGCTCTACTTCCCCAAGGAGCTCTCTTGGCTTTTGACGCTGGGTCAGGTCTACTTGATACTCTCGACTTTGCATCCTTCCCCCTGGAAATGCCGCCACGGCTTTTCTTTTCTTTACCATCTGTGGTTTGTTCCTTTGCAGCGGTTTCCAAATCAAGCTTGCTCGTCTCTTGAACCAAAGTGTTGTTGGTCTCGTAATCAATCTCAGGAGTCCATGGTAACAATGTAGGTGTAACATCTTGTTCCCGTCCAAGAACCATGAAAAGATCATCTGGCTCATGCCGATTGATCTCCGGTGCAGAGTTTTCTTGTTGTGTGATTCCATAGACGTCCGAGTCCATCATGTCAGTCCTCAACCGAAACTCTTCTACTTGGCCTTCACCGCGAGAATGGATCATGAACGAGTCATCCGTCAGGACATCTCTCTCGCTGCTCTTGCTCAAATGAAAATGGTCTCCTACAAATGACTTGACAAGACTCGGATCAGTTTCTTGACCTGCTTGGTTACGTATGAACCAACCTTCCTCTGCATCATCTCTGGCTCTGAGCTTCCCATCGGAAATCGACATCTCTGCCTGCGAATAGCTTCTTGACTCATCGCTTCTACCTGGATTCAACATCTCCTCATCGTAGTTGCTCTCTCTCCTTATCAGCCGAACATTCTCACCTGCGTCGAGTTTCTTGCTACCGCTTTCTCGTCCCCAATCCTCATTCACATTTGCAAACAAGAAAGAATCATCCACAGGCGCCTCTCTCTTCCTCACAACTTCTGACTCCATGTCCAACGGAGGTAAAGATGTTCGTAGTGACTCTTCTTGATCTGAATCTTTGTCTTTCAGAAGAAGGTTTTGGAAAGCATTCCAGTTATCATTCCCTTTAGTTTCCTTGTTACCTAAATCATCATCTTCACTTTGAGTTTTGTGTTTCCTCCGACGACGTGAGGTTGATTTGTGCCGTCTCTCCATTGAACCAATGGCTTCTTCTACTTGCTGCTTGATGGAATCTCCATCCACAAACCCTTCTTCTTCTTCCTCGGACTCCTCT